AGTAGCAGGGACTACAGGTGCATGCCACCATGCCCAGCTAATTTTTTCTATTTTTAGTCACCCAGCTAATTCTTTCTATTTTTAATAGAGATGGGGTCTTGCTCTTGCTCAGGCTGGTCTCGAACCCCTGAGCTCAAGGGATCCTCGTGCCTCAGCCTCCCAAAGTGCTAGGATTATAGGTGTGAGCCACCACACCCAGTCTATAAAACTTTTTTAAATGCTGATATAACAAACATTAATATTTCCCCTCACTGGTTCAAATTTTCCCATCTTTCTGTGCCACATACACTGCATGAGGTGGGGAATGAGGGACTGGAATTATCTGAGGTCAATGAAGGTGATTAAGGCTTAGTGTCTGTTCCACAACATACTGCTTTCATTGCTGAAACCTTGCATGCTCATTACAGCAAAGTCAGAACACTGTAAACCTTCATATGCTCAGACTTCCTATGGTATTTTTATAAACATTTTTGAGTGAATGGAGAAATAAATGATCACATTCTGTTCTGTAATGCTTTGATTTCCCCCATAGGTCTCAGATCTTAGAAGATAGAAAACTTCAGTCTTTATGGATGAATTACTACCAATTCCACATACAAGTCCTTTTTTTAAATAAGAGTTATTTATTTTTGAGAAGGGTCTCACTCTGTTTGCCCAGGCTAGAGTGCAGTGGTGTCATCATAGCTCAGTGCAACCTCAAACTCCTGGGATCAAGGGATCCTCCTGTCTCAGCCTCTTGAGTAGCTGGGACCACAGGCACATGTCACCATGCCCAGCCAACTTTTCTATTTTTTTTATAGAGATGGGGTCTTGTCATGTTGGTAGGAGTCTCCAACTCCTGTTCTCAAGTGATCTTTCCACCTTGGCCTCCCAAAGTGCTGGGATTACAGGCATGAGCCACTGCGCCTAGCCAGGGTTGCCTATTTAGAACCTTCTGAACTATAAAGGATTATACAGGTTTAGACTCAAATTGAAAGCAGCACATTTCTACCACTGAGAATACTTTCTAAGAGGGCTGGCTACCTTGCGAGAGTTCTAGTGCACATGCTCACAAACACAGAATTGGTGCCTTCGCTGCCTGGGTTCAACTCTTCGATTACGCTGCTTGTGTTTTCATACCATAAACTGCCATCCATTTAGCTTCATCATGATTAGTTCAGTTTGTGGCCCGTTGCTTGTCCCACTCTACAGTATGTAGGCCTATTTGCTTCAAAAGAGGTTTTGGTCTATAATTTTCCAGGACATGAATTTAAATACATGTCATAATTCATATATAAATTGTCCATTCTCCAATTACTCAAGCAGATGTGTCATAGCCTCATCCTCCCACCCCCATTTTTTCCTTTATACAATGACTCAGTTGTAAATGCCAGGTTCCCCCTCTCCCTCCCCAAGTTGGGAAGTGGAACCACATAGTGTGGGTGGGTCGTGGGGCCCTGTGGATCCACAGCCAGTGTTTACAAGTCCCTGGTGCAGTGGGAAGAACCATGAACCCACTGGCAGGTGAGCTGGTGTGGGTTCTGGTTTGTGACCTTACCAGGTCACCTTACCTCTTTTGAGTTTCTCTTAAAAATGGAGCTGATGATGTGAAGTTTCCAGATTTGTCATAAGAATTGAATGTGATAAGTGGTGCTTTGTGAAAGTGCTTGGTACACTAGACAAGCCTCTACAAGGCTGGGCCTGGTCTTCCTTTTGTAAACCCAAAGCACTCAGTACAATGCCTGCCACACAGGAGGCACTACGTCAACATTTCTCAAATGAATGAATCAAGAGCTCCCAGCTCTCGTAAGGTGATCCTCCATTAGAATGCACAGCCCTTGGCTGTAGGACATGTGCCGTTGCCCCAACTCTCATTCTGCCAAGAAACCAAATGCAATGATCCCCAAAGCCCTAGTGGTAAATGTATCAATCCTCCATGTGCATTTGTGTTTGTTTTTGGAGTCTTAGAAAGGAGGATCCAAAAAGATTTTAAAAGGCATCTAGTTCAGCCTCCAACCTGATGCTTGGACATCTCTTCAGCCTTCTCAGGGAGTCCCCAGACAGCCTCTGCTTGCACACCTCTAATAACAGGCAGCTCACTCCATGGATGGGCAACCCAAACGGTCAGAAAGTTCTTTCTTAAGTCAAGTGTGTCTCCCTGTTGTTGCTACCTTTCTGTTTTAGCTCTCCCTTCTGGAGTAGCACAGAGTCAATCTACTCCCCTCCTGCACAGCCCTTCAGACAGTAGCAGCCAGTGGCCAGGACTCCTGAAGCTACTCCTGAAGCATCCCTGGTCTCTACAATTGTTCCTCATCTGACATCATTTCAAGTTCCCCCTCTGTCCCCAGTCCTGGTCACTTTTTGCTGTACAAGCTCCCAGTTTGCCTACCTCTTTTTTTAGAGTGTGTATCTAGAAACAGACCCAGAACTCCTGAGGTGGCCTGGCATGGCTGACACAGAGAAGATGGAACTGCCACCTCCTTCCTCTTTCCAAGCCCCTGCTTTTGGTGAGAACAGCTCAAGTTCCCGTTTGCTTTTTCCAGCTGCTCCACTATAGTCCTGATCCCTGTTTTGCTTCCGGTTGAGTAAAACCTCATTTGTTTTTCATACCCACTGCTGTGTCATCAGCAGGATTAAGGTAACTGCTAACTGAACTTTAGCATTCCCATCCATTAGGGATTTAGGTAACCAACATGGCCCTATTAGCATAATTGGTAACTTTGTCACCAATAGAAATCACAGAATGTACATATCACATTCCAGTTGCCAAAAACTCAAAAAATAAATATGCACATCCCCACTTCAAAATTATGGTAGCCACCAGACCTGCTGTTACGTCTTGCTAATCAATGCATCCATCAAGAAGCACATATGGTACTATATCACAACTTGGTTTTTATTAATATTTTGAAAGCCATAGGTTCCCTTGGTAATTCAACGTATTGTATTTTATACATTTAAAAAGCATTGTTCTCAAGAGGTGTCCCTAGGTTTCAACAGACATGACCAAAAAGATTAAGAACTTATGCCTGAAGCCAAAGGATTCAAAGAATGCTCATTCCTTAATCCCTTCCAGACATTTCCTGGGAGCCTACTATGTGCAAGATCCTACATGACCCTGACCTCATGAAAATCGCAGTCTGGGAATGGAGACAGATACATAAATGGGACTTAAATACCATGTTGCATCTGCTGTGATGGAGATGTGTATAGTAGTAGAAATGGAACAACGTTAGAGGTCTAGAGACTCAGGTTCAAATCCTGGCTCTTCCACTACTTGCAGTGTGATCTCCTCACATCCCCTTAGCCCCATAGCCTAAGAAGTTATTCAAAATAACAAAGCTTAGGCCTGCTTACACTGCCTTGTCTGTTCCTTTCTTTGGAAACCACAATAAAAGCTCTTTCCCACAATGTACCCCAATTCTGCCTCTTGACCAACCCTGGTGCTTCTCCATGTGGCCTCCCTATGGTATGTCCCCTTCTCTTGGGATCCGTGATCCCAATGGCAGCCATCTCCTGATCTGTTGGCCTTTCCAAATCTAAATAATAATAAAATTTACATTAAAACAGGGCCCCTGAATGGGGCCTGTGGTAGATTATTACAATAATGACTCCCAATGAATCAAGCGTCCCTCCACTGTGTAGTCCCCTCCCACAATGGCTCTGGTCCTGTGACTCCTTTGGCCAATGGGACATTAGCAAATGTGATCTAAGCCGAGGTGTGGAAAGTGCTTGCACATTGGTCCTTTCCCCTTTTGCTTCCCTGAGACCACCCTATGAAGAAACCTAAGCCAGTCCCCTGGAGGATGAAACCATGCGGAGCACCTCAAGTCAGAAGGAGAAAGGGAGGAAATGGTGGTAACAGAACTCAGTGGAGCTAGAGCTGTGGAGGAGGGTGACAGGAGCCCAAGCTGGGGACACACGCACTGCCTGCAGAAGGGAGGGAAGTAGAGTAGGGCTGGCGGAGAATGGATCTGAGGGGCAAATGGACAATATCCAGCACAGAGAATGAAGCATTTGTTTAGTTTTCAGTAGCCTCTGCGGCCTCATATCAAATATACATACAGGTAGTGGGCAGGATGTTTGAGGGAAATAGTGAAAAGGGCAGAACATTGGGATCAGCAAACCCGGATTCAAATCCTAGTCCTACCGCTTCCTACTGGTGATCTTGGGCAAGTACCTCCCCTTTGGCAGCACCTGTAGTCAGGGACACCATATTCCAGTTGTATACCTCAAACAGCAGTTCTTCTGGCTAAAGAACTGTAAAGTGCTGAAGCAGACCTTGATTATGAAGGTGCTCTATTGCATCCCTAAGTCTTCAATCCATTCAATAGAATCCCTCCCCCGTCTCCTGCTCCTTCTCCAATTCTATCTTTGCCATTTAGCTGAATTGCTCAGGGATTTCCCTAGACCTCAGTTTCCTCTTTGGTGTAAAGGGGATGAACATAGATGGGGGTGTGGTATAAAAGGGCTCTGTGAACCTAAGGCACAATAATCATTAGCTACCTAGGCCAGGCGCGGTTGCTCATGCCTGTAATCCTAGCACTCTGGGAGGCCCTGAAGGGAGGATCGCTCAAAGTCAGGAGTGTGAAACCAGCCCCAGCAAGAGCAAGACCCCATCTCTACTAAAAATAGAAAGAAATTAATTGGCCAACTAAAAATATATAGAAAAAAATTAGCCAGGCATGGTGGCGCATGCCTGTAGTCCCAGCTGCTCGGGAGGCTGAGGCAGCAGGATTGCTTAAACCCAGGAGTTTGAGGTTGCAGTGAGCTAGGCTGAAGCCACAGCACTCTAGTCTAGGTGACAGAGTGAGACTCTGTCTCAAAAAGCAATAAAAACAATAAAAACAATAATAATTAGCTATCTAGAGTGGGAATGCCCAAGACGCCGAGGCAACCCAAGTGGCACTCAGGAATGCTACGACACTAAGAATGCTACAGCCACTGGCCACCGACCACGCCTCCCGGATTCCCGCGTGCGCGGGGGAGGGCCGGTTCGCGCGATCTGATTGGGCAGCTCGGAGAGGGGCGGGGCCCAAAGAAGGCGGGTCTTCCGGCCGACTCCACCGCTGTTGCTAGGGGAAACAGCCGCAGGGCGGCGGAAGGAGCTGAGGACCTGCAGCAGTTGGCGAGGCGGGAGCGCGGAAACGATGGCTGTCATGGCGGCCTCGGGGCCCGGGTGTCGTACCTGGTGCTTGTGTCCCGAGGTGCCATCCGCCACCTTCTTCACTGCGCTGCTCTCGCTGCTGGTGTCCGGGCCCCGCCTGTTCCTGCTGCAGCCGCCCCTGGCGCCCTCGGGCCTCTCACTGAAGTCGGAGGCCCTGCGCAACTGGCAAGGTGAGCAGGGGCGGGGCCGGGATCTCGGGGCGAGCCTCTTTCCTCTGACCTCGCGGGTGCCTCGGCGCCAGCCTCACCGCCAGTCTGCCGCTGTCTCCGTGAGCAACGCTGTTCTCCCCACCCGGGGGACCAGCCTCCAGCACCGTCTCTGGCTCCCCATATTCCTCGTCTTTGTCTCTGCAGAGTCCCCCCATCTTCGTCATCACTGTATGCTCTTCCCTACCCAAATTTGTTCCCATCCCTGTCGCCACCAGACTGGTCAAGGCACCAAACCCATTCGCTCTCCGGGGATAAGGATTTTTCCTTTTCCCCCTCCTGTTTCTTATACCCACCTATGTATGCTTTAGACCTAAGCCCCACTGAAAAACATTTTTCTCCCACCTTTATCATAATAATTGAGGTTTGTCCGTGATTCCCTATAATCCCAAGTAAACGTCCTGACCTCTCGAAATTTGGAATCTCTTCCGCTTCTTCGTTTGTATCAGAATCCCGACTCCCATTTCCAGCTCATGGGGAGAGGGGGGGTGGGTGTCTTCTGCCTTTGGTGAGGTGTTTGTTTTCTCCAGGGGAGAGGAATTTTGCAGACCAATTAAGTATCAACATCCACTCTTAAAAGACGTTCATAGGCTCCATTTCTTCCTCATTTTCTGGGGAGGAATATAGGAAATTGATTATAGCTCTTGCTGTTTTGTGAAGCACACACACATACGTTAATGTTCATTTAACCCTCACAACCATCCCATGATGGAGGCTTTATTGGTGCCCATGACTGAGAGTGAGTCTTAATGCAGAGAATTACATAGCTGTTAAGTCATACAATTGAGACAGGAACTATCTCAAAAAGATTTTTCTTTTTTTCCCCCCTTTTTATTAATTTATTTTTATTTCATTATATTTTTCTACCTGACCATCAGAGACAGGTTTTTCTTTTTATTTTGTGATATTTTGGAACTAAAGCCTTGGAGTATATAATCTACAAATCATACAGAGTTGCTTCTGGATCTTTTCACATTTATATTTGAAATTTCAGTTTTGGAAGTACCTAACAAATAATGAAGTACTCTTCAGATAATGAGACCTTCCGGAGACAGCCTGACTGAGGTATATGGTTCCATAGCCTGCTTCCCTGCTCAAATCCAAAACTGTTCCTCGCCACCCTAGATACACCTCCTCATAGACAGAAGCAAAATGCCAGCCTAACCTGAATCTCCTTTTTTTTCCTTTGGTTCACAGCTTCCCTAGGTGTGGGTTTCATGGACACGTGGGCATTAGATATATCAGGGACATTTGAAGGCCTCAAGCTTCACTCTCTTACCTTATAATGAAGAAACTGAAACAGAAGGCCTGTAACTTGACTAAGCTCAGCCAGCCTTTACATGGTAGAGCCAAGGTTCCACTCCAAGTCTTAGACTCTCAAGTCCAATATTACTGTTACTGTCAATTCATTGGTCTCCCTCCTTCAGTTTAGTGTTTTGGCCTGCAGGGACATAAACATGCATAAAGATAACCAACTGCTTTTAGGAAAATAAAAGTAGGATTCTTTCCTGTCTCATTGCACATAAAGCATCACTCTAACTATAAGATTGGATAAGTCCTTTCAAGGAAGACTTCTGATTGCTATATTATTAATGATAGTTTTATAATTCTTATAGCTGTAAAATAATTCATGGTCCCTTTTTTCTTCCTCTGAACAGCCACTATGGAAGGAGAGGTCAGGATTACAGCTGAGGAGACTGGCACACAGAGTGTTAAGTGACACCCACTCAATCCACCCTGAAGCTGTTACAATTAATTAACACTCAAACTGCCCAGTGAGGTAGGTCAGTATTAAAACCTAAAAAAGGATTATAAAGCACTTTACAAATTCAGAGGCCACCCCATGCCAAAAAGTATTCAAGTCAGACACTTATGAGACTTGCTCCAGGTCTGGGAAAGAGCAGGGATTAGACATTCATGCCTCTCTTTTGACTCTTTGGGTCCTTCATGGTTGCCCCTCTCCCCCTCCCCCCAGCCCCCCACTGCTTATGCTTCCCCTGATTTTCACTGGCTTGAAGTTCTCTAACATGGGGGCTGCTCTCCCGTTCCTAGGTGGCTTATAACCTGACTTTCCCTCCTTGGAGCAACCTAGCATCAGGCCTCTAACCAAGCTCCCTCTTCAGTTTACAGGCTAGTGACCTACATCTTTGTCTACGAGAATCCGATCTCCCTGCTCTGTGGTGCCATCATCATCTGGCGCTTCGCTGGCAATTTTGAAAGAACTGTGGGCACCGTCCGCCACTGCTTCTTCACCTTGATCTTCGCCATCTGCTCTGCTATCATCTTCCTGTCGTTTGAGGCTGTGTCATCACTGTCAAAGCTCGGGGAGGTGGAGGATGCCAGAGGTTTCACCCCGGTGGCTTTTGCCATGCTGGGAGTCACGTCTGTCCGCTCCCGGATGAGGAGGGCTCTGGTGTTTGGTGTGGTTGTGCCCTCAGTCCTGGTGCCATGGCTCCTGCTGGGCGCCTCTTGGCTCATTCCGCAGACCTCTTTCCTCAGTAACGTCTGTGGACTTTCAATTGGGCTAGCATGTATCCTTTCTAAAAGAGATTGTAGAATGATGCCATGCCAAAGGGTGAACTGGGTTGGAGGATTTGGGGTGTCAAGTAGACGGAATCTTGGGCTCAGCTCTAGGCAACCCAGGGTCCAGCTTCAGCTGTGAAAACCACGTAGCCTTAGGCAGTTCACCTCCCCTCTCTGAACCAGAATTTTCTCGTCTGGAAAATACCAACACAGTACTGTCAGTTAATAGAATATGTTGATTGGATTTTTTGTTTTTATAAACTGAGGTGTAAACCTACATTTCACTAATCATGCTAAGAGATTTCATTGGAAGAATCTGAGGTACCCATAAGTTGGGGATGGTCCATGAAAGGAATGGGAAACAGATTTGTTTGGTTTTGTTAGGTTTTTCTCAGAAAAGAAAAATGAAAGAAAGATGGGCTTTTACCATATGGGTGGTTAGAAACTTAAGATAAGCCTTACAGCCTTTGTAAAAATATTCTGGTAATTAGAAAAGAAAAATTTGAATGCAAAGTAGGGTTATTTTTTAAACATCAAAACTGGTCGTGTTGTCCGGGCGCGGTGGCTCACGCCTGTAATCCTATCACCCTGGGAGGCTGAGGTGGGCAGATCCTTTGAGCTCAGGAGTTCGAGAACAGCCTGAGCAAGAGCAAGATCCTGTCTCTACTAAAAATAGAAACAAATTAATTGGCCAACTAAAACTATATAGAAAAAATTAGCCAGGCATGGTGGTGCATGCCTGTAGTCCCAGCTATTCAGGAGGCTGAGGCAGGAGGATTGCTTAAGCCCCCAGAGTTTGAGGTTGCTGTGAGCTAGGCTGATGCCATGGCACTCTAGCCCGGGCAACAGAGTGAGACTCTGTCTAAAAAAAAAAAACAAAACAACTGGTCGTGTTGAGGATTAGACAAGGTACACTCCTGAAATCTCTTACAATTTAAGATTCTATAAGCTATTATAGTAGGTAGTTATAAATACAGGTGATTGGTAACATACCTTTTATTTTTAAATTTTAATTTAACTTTGTTGATTTTAAACCTTTATCTTATAAAAATTTAAAACTATAAACTCCCTTGCACATACTACTTTATCTGTTTCCTACAATGTTTGATATGTTGTGTTTTCATTATCACTCAGGAAAAATATTTCCTAATTTTTTTGGGATTTCTTCTTTGATCCAAAGATGATTTTTTAAGTAAGATGTTTAATTTCTAAATATTTGGAGATTGTCCAGATTTCTTTTTGCTATTGATTTCTACTGTAATTTCATGTGGTCAGAGAACATTCTTTGTACAATTGCCGTTCTTTTAAATAGCTTCTGGCACAGCATGTGGTATATCTTGGTGAATGTTCTATGTGTGCTTGAAAAGAAAGTACATTCCATGATTGGTGAGTATAGTGTTTTGTATATCTCAGGTCAAGGTGTTGATTGATGTTCAAGTCTTCTATACCCTTACACTTGTTCTATCACTTTTTGAGAGAGGGCTGTCCAAATTTCCAAATAGAGTTGTGGATTTGTCTGTTTTTGCCTTTCATTTCTGTTAGTTTCTGCTTCATGTAGTTTAAAGCTCTGTTATTGGAAATATATACAATTAGGATTATATGTTGTCTTAATTGATCCCTTATCATCATGAAATTGATCCTTTTAATCTCTGATAATATTTTTTACCCTAAAGTCTACATTGCTTGAAATTAATATAATTATTCTAGCTTTCTTACAATTAGGGTTTACATGGTCTATATTTTTCATCCTTGTATTTTTAACATATTTGTATCATATTTAAAACATGTTTCTTATGGATAGCGTATAGCTGGTCCTCCAATCTAAGAATCTCTGCCTATTAAATGATGTGCTGAGCCCATTTACATTTGGTGCAATTATTGATGTGGTTGGGTTTAAATCTATTAGCTTGCTATTTGTTCCAAGTGTTCTTTGTTCTTTTCTTTTCCCTCTCTTCCTGCCTTCAATTGCATATTTTTTTAGTATTTAATCTTCTTCAGTTGCTTACTAGCTATAACTCATTGTTATATTTTTTAATGGTTGCTTTAGAGCTTACATTTATGCATTTTTAGTTTATCACAGACTACTTTCAAATGATATACCACTTTATATATAATGTAAGAATATTACAGTATTGTATTTTTATTTTCCTTTTCATCTTTTGCATTCTTGTCATGTTTTGCTTCTACCTATGTTATAAAACTTCACGATACATTGCTATTACTTTTGTTTTAAATAATTTTATCTTTTAAAATTAAAATACAAGCAGACGTTTACCCACATATCTACCATTTTAGTTTGTGCAGATTTCTAGTTCACATTTATGTAGATCCAAGTTTCCATATGGTGTCATTTTCCTTTAGCCTGAAGAACATCCTTTAACATTTCTTGTGTAACAAGTCTACTGGTGACAAATTCTCTTGGCTTTCAATTGTTAGAAAATGCTTTTATTTCACTAAATATAGAATTCTAGCCACCTCTGATCTCCCTGGACTCCTCTTTTAAATATGTCATTGCATTATCATCTGGTTTATTTGTCTCTGATGAGAAGTTAGTAACCATTTTTATTGTTCCTCTTTATGTAATGTGTTGATTTTTTCTGGCTTCTTTCATGGGTTTTTCTTTATCATCGGTTTTCAGCTTTTTAATTGTGATACACCTTGAGTTGGCTTTCTTTATGTTTATCCTGCTTGGAGTTTATTGATCTTGGATATGTGAGTAGAATTTTCATCAAATCTGAGAAAACTTATGATCATTATTTCTTTTTTTAATTATTTTTTATTTTTAGTTGGCCAATTAATTTCTTCCTATTTTTAGTAGAATGGGGTCTTGCTCTTGATCAGGCTGCATTATTTCTTAATATTTTTTTCTATCCTATTTTCTCCTTTTTTTCTGGGACTCCAGTTACACATGTTTAGACTACTTAATATTGTTCAATGGGTAATGAGGCTCTGTTTATTTCTTTTTTTCCAGCCTTTTTCTACCTCTATGCTTCAGTTTGAACAGTTTCTGTTGCCCTTCCTTCAAGTTCAATGATCTTTTCTTCTGTAGTGTGTGATCTGCTGTTAAATCTCATTTCACATGTTATGTGTTTACATTTCATGTTTTTATTTCAGCTCAATAGTTTCCATTTGGTTCTTATAGTTTTCATTTCTATATAGCTTCTTTTATTATGTTTATATTTTCCTTTAAATACTTATATTTTTAAATACTTAATGTATTTATTTTTGTAATAACTGTTTTAAAGTCCTTGTCTATTAATACCATTTCTGGATCATTTGTTTCTATTGACTGATTTTCCTTCTGATTATGGACCCCATGGTAAACAGTTTACCCCAGGTAAACTGTTGCTTTGCATGTCTGGTAATTTTTTATTTTATGCTAGACACTGAATGCTGTATTATTGAGGGCTGAATTTTATTGTCTTCCTTTAAAGAGTGTTGATTTTTAATCTGATGGGGCAGTTAATTTACTTGAAGATTAGCTTGAAACTTGAGGCCTGTTTTTTAAGCTCTTTTAAAGAGAGTCTAGAATATGCCTTTATTCAGTGCTAATTTAGAATAAACTTTTTTTATTTTAGAGGTCTCTTCTCAATGCTCTCGGTGTTCAGTGAAATCTTTTCTCTCTGTCCAGTTGGAATGAGAGTATTTCCCTACCCTCTGTGAACTCCAGGAATTCTTAAACTCACCACTCCCCAATGGTCATTGGGTCTCCAGTAGCTAGTCTTGCTTGTCTTGAGGAGTCTCAGCCTATGCACGTGCACCTTCTGATTCAGCGAAAGACTTGGAGCTCCTGTGCAGATTTCTAGAGCTCCTTTTCTAAGCAGCACCCTCCTCTCCATTACTCTGATCTGCAAATCCAGCCACTTCATCCTCCCTAAACTCTTTTTATCTGTCTCTCTGGCTCAGCAACAAATGCTACACTCCTGCTGCAGTTTGAAAAGTGCATCTGGGCAGAAAGCCAGCATGATCTTGGGGCTCAATTTATCTGTTTCCCTTTTCATAGGGGTCACAGGCCTGCGATGTTGGTTGTCCAAAGTCTGAAAAGAGTTGTTTTAACATAGTGTGTCCTGGTTTAGAGATATTTATGATGGGAGGACTAATCTATTAATAATATTATTACTTCATTAGAGTCAAGTGGAATAGATTCTTGAGATCGTTCTGAAGTCATCAGCCGTGGCAACTTATGACTTTCTGAAGCATTGGTCATCACCTATAGTTAGGAAATACACTGTCCTCTCTGAAAGTTGCAGGGGCATTTTTAGTTACAACAATAACTAGGTGCTATTGCCATTTAGTGACCAGTGGTCATGGACACTAAACATCTTGTAAAGAGTGAGACAGTCTAGCTTAGCAAAGAATTGTATTGCTGAAAATGCCAGTTGCATTCCGGTTAAGAATGTTCCTCGGGGAACACCTTTTTCATGGTGGTGCTTCCCTATAGCCTTCTCCCCACCACCACCTCTTTTGCCTAGCTATTGCTACTCAGGATTTAGGGTTTGGCATCCACATTACCTCCTTAAGGAAAGCCTGCTTCAGTCTCCCTAGACTAGGTTAGTGTCCCTAGCATGGTCTTCTATAGATAAAATTTTGCTGGTCACCACTGATTCTACCCCAATTACTAATTCCTTGGTGCAGGCATATCATAAATGTCCAGTATTTAGGGAGAGGATATATGACTAAACGAAGGCTGAATCTTTGTGGCTGCCTAGGCAGAGGTGGGCTGACACAAGTCAGATGACCAGGATGCCATCAAGTCACTGGGGATGGTGACAGTGTGGATGGTACGCTGCCAAAGAGGCTTATGTCAAATTCACTTGGTCACTTGGAGGCAGGTGCTTTCCATTTGGGACAAAAGTACAAGAAGGTATTAGTCCCTCTGATGGCCTCCTGCCTCAATGCTCTACAAGGACAGAGGTGTGTGCTGGATGCTGTGATTGCAGTGGCTAGAAAAGCTCAAGAGATGGGATGGTTTGGCATAGGGGGAGGTGATGTGTTAACAGTCACCTGCCCTCCCCGACTGCTGGCCATGTTCCCCATGAGGTACGGTGGATAGAAACTTTGACTCTGGATTTCTTTTGACCTGGAAACTCCAGCTAGAGTTTATGGCGGAATAAGCAGTAATGCCTCTGTAGAGTAAGTGTGGGGACTGCATTCTTCCATGGGGGTGTTCAGCCCTTCTCACTTCTGCTGCCTCCAATTTTACTTAATAAGTCAACCTCAGATGGCCTCACATACTGCTATTCCCTCGACCTCTCAGAGCGAGTAGCACTGAAACTTGATCAGAAGTTCCCCTTCAGCCTCATGAGAAGGATATCCATGTTCAAGTACGTCTCGGGGTCTTCCGCCGAAAGAAGGGCAGCCCAGAGCCGGAAGTAAGTTACAAAACTCTGTAATCTTACTCTTAAAGTAACTTCGGGGCCTGTACAGGCTGTGGCTGGTTCAGTGCCATGGATAATAAAGGAATGGGGTGTGGGCAGACTTGAAAATCAGTGTTCTCTGAACACCTTGGATTTTGCCCAACTGCATCTGAGATAGGGATCGAGCAGGAACGAGAAAGGGAAGGCATTTGAGGACACTGACTCATAATCCCGAGTGACCGTGGACAGACTGGGCTGGAGTGACGCTATCTAATGCTGTTAACCACTCCTCAGCCTGACAAACACCCTGCACTAGGCTGTGGCCCTGATGAGAAGTACAGGCGGGCCACACAGCTGGCTAGGTTGCTTAGGAGAGGTACAGCCTGCCACCTGAGAGATAGGGTTTTCTTAGCCACCCAGCAAAGGCAGGTGAGGTTTACTGTTCTCCAATCCAGGCTCATGAACTCACACATGGAAAATGCAGGTAAGGCGCCAGGGCTCACGTAGCCTCGCTCCTTCATTTTACAGAGGAGGCCAAGGAGGACCAGGGTCTTCCTGACACATGGGTTACCTGTGTGTCCAGGTAACAGTGTCAGGAGGAGAGCCCAGGTGGAAGTGAGTCTGCTGCAGTGGGTCGTCCTCCCTCCCTTAAAGGCAAGGAGGGTTACTGGGAAAAAGAGAAATGCAGACTCACCTATTTCACTTTGGTCAAGTAATTCCTGGGGTCTATGTGTAGTGGAGACTATAAACTTGGAAATGAGTGTTTTGTGTTTTTTCATTGTTCTCATAGAATCTTGCGAGGGCTTCAGGGCCTTGGGTCCAAACCCTCACCTCGGGAGGGAGTCCCCTCTGTAATAGCTGATGGTGGTAGCCAGCCATACCTCACCCCCAGTGACTGCCACATGCCCTCCAGGACTCCCCCTGACTAGAAAGTTCGTCCACAGTGAATTATATTCGGCCTTTCTGAGGCTGCTACACGCCAGTGCCAGGCCTGATCCTGCCCCAACATGATAGGCAGATCTGGCGGGGTGGGGGATAGTGGCCCTTTCTGTTTTTTCTGTGTTCCTCACGTGGCGTGGTGTCTGACCCCTCATTGCCTACGCTTGCTGTAAATAGCTAGAATAGAACATTATGTTTCGGGCAGCTTGACAGTGGGTCACGGGTCATGGACAGCATTCTTAGACACAGTTTATTTTGGCAGTGAGGTGACCTTTTGTATAGCTGTCTCCTCTGAGGCTCTTGTTGGGAAATTCGTTTTTTAGTCCCACAAGAAGTGCTGTTACATGAGTATCCTGTGCCTAGACTTAAGTACCTGATTTATAAGATTGAGTTTTAATTGAAATGTATACAGATATAATCCATTCACTTAATACAAACATCAGTGGTGTTGACATCCACTCCCCATATTTGAACTTTGCACAAAAGTTCAGAAGACAGCTGAGTAGGGTGGCACGTGCCTATAGTCCCAGCTATTTGGGAGGCTGGGGCTGGAGGATTGCATAAGCCCAGGAGTTCAAGGCTGTAATGCCCAACGATTGTGCCTGTAAACAGCCTCTACACTCCAGCCTGGGTGACAGAGTGAGATGTCATCTCTAAAAAGATAATAAAATTTTTATTTTTAATGTTCAGAGAGGACAAAACCCTTAGAATGTGTCTCCATTCCTAGACCCAGCCATGTGTGTCTGGTGGGATCTTTAAGCTCTCAGCACAGATAGCTGCCCATGTCTGTCTCATGGGTTCTGGGCAGTCAGGAGTTTGAGTTGCTAGCCTTCACACCTGAAGTCACAGGTAGAAAATTTCATAGCAGACAGGGCCTGGCCCAAGCCCTATGTTATCTATTAGAGTGCCTCCTCCGTCCCCAGAGGTGGATCTGTTCTCTGAGCAGAACTGGTGAACCAGCCACAGACTCATGGGACTGACTGGGCCCTTGCTTCTCTGGGCATCTGTTTTGTTTTGGTTAAGGTTAGCCTTGCTCCCTACTTAGTACACAGAGCTAGTCACGGAAAACGTGCAGGGTACGTTGCACGGTAAACAGGGCTCAGCTCCCCTTTTGGCTCTTGTTAACAACAAGATCCTTTGATGTTGGCATTACTAGCTGAATAACTGTTTTCTCACTTGTTCATTCCAGGCTGAACCCTGTGCCCGGCTCCTATCCCACACAGAGCTGCCACCCTCACCTGTCCTCCAGCCACCCCATCACGCAGATGCAGCATGCCAGTGGTCAGAAACTAGCTTCTTGGCCCACTTGCACTCCTGGGCACATGCCCAACCTGCCCCCCTACCAGCCTGCCTCCGGCCTGTGTTACGTGCAGAACCATTTTGGTCCCAACCCCAACTCCTCCAGTGTTTACCCAGCTTCTGCGGTAACCTCCCTGGGAGTCCAGCCCCCTGCCCCTGTCAGCTGCCCTGGCACAGTGTATTCCGGGGCCCTGGGCACTCCTGGGGCTGCAGGCTCCAAGGAGTCTTCAAGGGTCCCCATCCCCTGAGAGAATTTCTGGGGAAGTTATCTCCTATCTTGGTTTTCTGAAGAAGGTCTTCTGTGAGCTAAGATTTTCCTGACAAATTATTTATTGAACACCTCTATGTGCCAGGCTCCGTGTTGAGTACTTTGATAAATGTCCCTATTTCAGTCTCATTTGTGCTCATGGCAGCTTTGTGAAGTACCATTTACTGTTGCCAGTTTACAGATGCATAAGGTGAGACAGTCTGTGCCTGCATCGAGTCACGTGGCTCTTGGAGCAGCACTGCCGGGCTTCGTGGCCCCAGGTCCCAGCCTCCTCCCAGAAAACACACGGGAGAAAAGGGCAGTGGCTGTCAGTGGCTATTTTCAGCTCCACTATCCTTCCTGCCCTCGTGTGCTGTTCTCTTGGTTATAGTGTCCCTGTGTCCGTGTCTCTGCCCTTCAGGAACTCCCAGCTGGTGTGTGCTTGGCAGTCCCCAGGCCTTTGTAGCGTATCTCCCCTCCGCAGTCCCCCTACCCAGACTCTTCTGTCCCAGAAGTGGAGAGACAGTCCCACGTGAGCCACAGCAGCATGCTGGTGGGTCCACGGTGTTGATTACCTTTGTATAAAGAAATAGCCTCTGACCTGCGCTGGTGGAGTGTGCTTCATTTGTGGTCTGGCTGGGGAAGACGGGGAGCACAGAGACTTGAGTGTTGGCTCTGTGTGGCATGGTGGCGGAGAGGAGAGATGCACCAGGATGGGGCCAGGCAGACAAACTGTGCCTGGCGGGCCAAGGGGGAGGTCTCGAGGGGAGCGAGTTGCAAAGGTGGGCGACCCTGAGATGGGCAACCCCAGGCAGCCACTGCTGCCCCCCAGGGAGCAGGGGGTGTTGCCAGAGCTTAGGAGCTGGGACTACAGTGACAAGAGCTGCTGGCAGGACAGCACGCCAAGCAATGGCACTGGCAGCGTTGTCACCTGAAGCAAGAGGGAGCGAAGAAGAAGAGCCCTGGCTTACCATCGATGTCTCCCATTGGCCAGATAAACCAGGAGCCAGTTGGCAAAGGAGCCCAGGAAATGTCATGGTATGGGGCAACCCCTCTGTAAGGCAGGGCAGGCCGAAGAGGATGTCAAGAAGGCGTGCCAGCTGCCAGGTGTTTGCAGAGACCTAACAAAGCATGGCTTTCATTTGTTCAGAAGCTGGACAGCCCCCTATGGGCTGGCTTTCCAATAGATCCTAGGTTTTCAGAGGCAGGTAAGACACGGGACCCCAAATCTACCCAGCCTGGTAAAGGTGGGACAGCAACAGGCACACACCTGGGCAGCCTCTGAGACATGAGCAAGAAGGTACCTGCACTGGCGAGAGGGGGTGGGAGGATGAGGTGAGACCACGATACCTGAGCTGCGTTGGGAAGTAGAGTTTGCAGCCGAGGAACTGGGTGCCCAGATTCCCGCTGAGATTTGTCACAGAGCAAGTCTGGCAGGGCCCAGCTTGGGGCTTCTGACTCCAGCCACACCCAGCACCTTTCCCAAAATGTCACTTGGAGAACACATACAGTGTGTGTTCTTAGACATGTTCCTCTGCTCCAATCCCAGGCCTGTACCCAGAAGCGGGTGAAAGGGGAAAACTATCATGTTCTGCATTCCAGAAACCTCTTCCCTCCCACCCCAGGCAAGGCAGGACACTGCAGCCAGAGAAGCTTCCAGGCCTCGTCAGTTTCCTTGCTCAGCCAGATGAGGGCAGCAGAGCAGCAGAATCAGGCTCTGCTATCTGCACATCTTCCCTGGGGCAGGCCTGCCCCATAGCTCAAGGGTGACAGGAGGAAAAAGGAAAAAGCCTTGCTCTTGAACTCCAAGAACCAGTACTATGAGGGAAGCAGGTTTGCAGATACCACAGCGCAAGATGAAGGCTGTGAGAGCCATGTATGCTCAACCCTTCGAGGTTTTGTTCCTTCACACATCTGTTCATTCATTCGCTTTTTCATTTAAAGAATACTTTGTGAGTAACTACAAGTTCCAGGCCTGTGCTAGGCCTTGGTGCACGAAGATAAGAAAGGACAAACCTTGCCTTTGAAGCACTCAGAGTTCATTAAGGACAACATGCTACGTGGAGAGAGGAAGAGGAGCGTACGTGCAAAGGTGCTGTGGGAGCCTCCCTAGGAGGATGAGAGGAGAGACTTCCCGGAGTAGAGTCAACCAAGCCAGGGCTGGGGCCCAGGAGACAGAGGGTCACAGTAGGCAGCACAGAGAATGTGAGTATGGCGCCTGGGGAGGGGAGGTAGGGAAGAAATGGCTGCAGTAGCCTAAGCTGGAAGAGAGGAGGCCGAGCCTGAGACACTGGCAGTGGGGTTGGACAGGCAGAAACGGCAGCCTGGAGCACAAAGCCACTTTCAGGGGACACATGGTGTGTGGCAGAGCTGAGGGGGTATGCACAAATTGTGCTATCCACAGCTTCTCCCTGCCTGAAAGTACTGCTCCACCCTCAGGTGAGTGAGTAGCATGGGGCAGGGCCCAGAGCAGCTTGGAGGCAGGACCACCTCTGTAGGATGAGGTCTGCAAGCATCTGCAAGCATGGGAGAGGGGTGGGAGGGAACTGGCCTTGGTGTTGGGTGCTGGACCCTTGGCTTCTTGAGCTCTGATATGTCACTCTGCCTGGACAACTGCCAGCTGCAAGAGTAGCCCCCTAAGCTGGACCTGAAGCTGGCCTCTGGGCCATCCTTGGAACAGGTGATAGGCCACCTAGGATCTTCCTCCACAGTCCTGTCTTGAGCTGAGCCCCCTTCCCCACCACCTTGGCCAAGAACCCCCAGAAAGGTCTCCAAAGGTTTGCATGCCCAACCCTGCCATTATGTCATGGCCAAGTCACTTCTAGCCTCTTAGACGGAACTCCTCCTCCTCCTCCTCCTGGGGGTCTGGCTGCAGGCCCTCAGCGGCCAAGGGACAGGTGGGCTTTGGTGTCCTTGGATGGGAAAATTAGCACTTTCTGCCCATAGAGGTGGCTCTGGGACAGCTCTGGCCTTCCTAGCGCTCAAGGTAGTTGGAGGCACGCAGGGCCCACACAAGCACACGCACACACACATACCCTACATGGGCACAGACACAAACATTTTGACCTCACAAATCTGGACCCTCACTCACACAACAATTCAAGTTCAAATAGGTAGATATCCACCCACAAAAATGCCACATTTGTTACGGCAGCCCTGGGAAACCACCACATGCAGGTTCATCTCCTCAGGGCGCTGTGCTTAGCTCAAGATCCATGGGAGCAACCCGTGGAGCCCTGGCCAGCACTCAAGGCCCCCAAGTGTCAGGGTACCCAAGTGGCTGCAGTCACCGCTGGAGTTCAGAAGGCCAGAAGAGGGAACTGGTCTGTAGGCAGGGTGAGGAGATGCATGTGTCACATTGGGCACCTTGATTCTGAGGTCCAGGGGCGTCTGTAGGCAGAGATGGCCTGGGGCACTGGGAACAGGTGAATGCTACACCCCAGACCCTAGAGAGTCTAAGCAGAGGCCTTCAGCGGCCTGCCTTGAGCCTGTGAGAACAAGCTCTGCCAAGGAGCTTCAGGGGAGGGCCTGGAATTGCTAGCAGCTCTGATTAGAAGTCGGAGGGATGTAATCCTAGCACTCCGGGAGGCCGAGGCTTGCCAATCCCTCAAGGTCAGGAGTTTGAAACCAGCCTGAGCAAGAGCGAGACCCTGTCTTTATTCAAAATAGAAAGAAATTAATTGGCGAACTAAAAATATATATAGAAAAAATTAGCCGGGCATGGTGGTGCATGCCTGTAGTCCCAGCTACTCGGGAGGCTGAGGCAGGAGGATCACTTGAGGCCAGGAGTTTGAGGTTGCTGTGAGCTAGGCTGACGCCACAGCACTCTAGCCCAGGCAACACAGTGAGACTGTCTCAAAAAAAAAAGAAAAAAGAAAAAAGAAGTCGGAGGGAGGCCTCCAGGGCTCCTGCAGCCTCTTCCTGGCTGTGAGGCCTTGGGCCAGGCACTCAGCTTCTCTGGGCCTCAGCCAATCATAAAGTAGGTGGGGGGAAAGGGAAATTTAAAAAAAATTTTTTTAATAAAAAGGGAGAATCATGCCTGCCTAACAGAGGAGAGATTATACACGTAAGAGACAGGGGCAGGTAAAAAAAATGCTTCTCTCTAGTGTTTGGAGAGCAAGTTACCCAGCCTCCTGGAGCTTCTATTGCCTCCCTGAAGCATGGAAATAATAATCCCTGCCTTTGACACCTTAACTGCCATGTGAGTTGTATTTAACTCATGCTAGTTTTGAGTCTGGGACCTCGTGAAGCATATGTAACTCACATGTCTCTACCTTGGGAGCCGCATGTACTATTTTTCAAGTTGCATACAACTCACTCATGGAAAACAATAAGAAAATAACAAACTTGTCATTAAATTAGAAAGGATTGTTTTGTTTTCAAAGTTTTTATTCTATTTTTGTAATAAAACACCATGGCCCCAAGGAAAACTTTTTTTTCTAGTGTGGCAGTGAATGTGTTGAAGTGAGGGATGTTAGAGTAAGGGACAGAGGCACCTGGCGCGACGTGTACTCAGTAAGCACAGCTTTTATGGGTGGTGAGAGGACTGTCCTCCTGGTGGCACGTTCTATCAATTTGTGGTCGCCTCCTCCGGTAGGTCTCTGTCTACCATACTACAGACTCCTTGGCGACAGGGACTGTCTGGCTTTGATCCTCAGCCCCAAAGCCTGGCACTCACTCATTCCCTGGGTATCTACTGAGCACCTACTGTGTACTGGGCGCTATTCCAGGGGCTGGTCATGCTACAGAGAACAAGGTGGCCAAATGCCTCCCTCCAAAGAGGGAGAAAGACAGCAAGCAGACTAATAAACAAGAAAAATAGGAGACATGAGATAAAATATGCTATGAGATAAAATACAAGTGACAAGTCCAGTGCAGACCATTAAAACAAGACAGTGAGAAATAGAAAGCAGTGACTGTAAATCCAGGAAGGCCTACCCGAGGGGACAACATTTCTGCTGAGACCTGGAGGACTCCAAGGAGCAGCAGTGAGAGAAGCCAGACGAGGATCTTCCAGGAAGACAGAATCCTAGCACTCTGGGAGGCTGAGGCAGGAGAATCGCTTGAGGTCAGGAGTTAGAGACCAGCCTGAGCAAGAGTGAGACCCCTGTCTCTTTACTAAGAGTAGAAAGAAATTAGCCAGGCAACTAAAAATAGAAAAAATGGCAGAGAGCCAGGTGGGCATGGGCTCAGCATGTTCACCAAAAACAATGACAATTAAGTGGCTGGGGGAGTTTGACAAGGGGTGATGTATACAGCAGGTGCTCAATATGTGTCTGTGGCTCTTGGCATCTGCACAAAGGCAGCCTGGGCTTAGGAAGCCACACCTGGGCTCACGGCTCGGTGCTCTGAGCACTGATGGCCTGTTCACCTGGCCCTCAAGAAACTCATAGTCAAGGGCCACAGGTCCCAGGAGCCTGACCCCTGGCCGTGCCCCCTACACTTCCATGCATTCATTCACGCACTCGCTTATTCATTTATTCCCTCATCACACGGTTACTTAACACCTGCTACACCCTGGCCTTATCCTGGAGGCTGGGGACAGAGATGACCAAAGCCTGGTCCCAGTGCCATGTGTTAAAGGGAGGGAGAGCCCCACA